AATATGTCCTGGGCTGACATTCGGGCGCGGGGATTTCGGCAGTCGAACAGGGTACTGGCTGCTACGTTGTACTTTTTGTTGTACCTTTATCATATATTTCACAAAACTTGACATACATCGCATTTACTTCATGTCCAAACAACAAGTCTTTCCAGTCAAAATCCTTAAAAAATGTGAGTTCCCCATAATGACCTCTCCTGAAATCAGGTTTTTCAACTGCTTCAACCTCATTTTCTTCTAGATTATAATGCATTGCATTTCTTACTTTATTCCCGCAAAGACATGATCACCTTTACCCAAGGGAGGGAGGTACTGAATATCAAATATCTCTTCCTCTTTCCTGGTAAATATCAAATCCAGCATGGAGGGCACATCCCCTTCCCTCATCCTCGTAGCTTGTTTAACATGTTGAAACATGAATGTTTCCAGGATGAGGTTAACAAATCTACAAGTCGAAAAATCCTCCGTTCTAGCTTCATATGCCTCCCAGTCTATGGATTTCAAGTTGAAGTCGCCAACTACCAACAGTCATGATCTATCCTTATCAGCTCTCGCTATAATCTCTCTCTCATTATTGTTATAAGACCCTCTCTTTTATTATCCAGCTCCTCCTTTGACCATGTGTTGCATGACGGTGGACTATATGCATTTATGATCGTTAGTTTATCATCCTGATTGCAGATCTCTAGTGCTATTATGTCAACTTCTCATGGACTGGCAATCATTATTTTGTTCACCTTTAGGTGTTCTTTCACCAGCACAGCAACGCCACAGCCTTTCCTAATTTTTCTGTCCCATGACAGAATTGAGTAGCCCCTTGGGAATATGACCTCATTTAAAATAGCATCTTCAAGTTTTGTCTCTGTGAGTGCAACAACATCTGGTTATTGCAGCTGTATTACATCAATTAACTCCAGTGTCTTTGATCTTATTCTATCTATTTGAGTATGCAATCTTCAGGAACATGTTCCCCCTCTCCTTATTCTTCACTTCCACTTTCTCTAGTGATTTTGTTGGGTTGCCTTTTTGTATAATTTTACTGGTCTGCCTACCCCTATCACTTTGTAGAAAAAAAAAAAAAATTCTCCATTTCTGCTCTTATTTAGACTTTTGCTTCGACAAGGTTCAGTTTCAGCTTCTGTTTTCTTTTGAATGATTATGTCTTAACGACCATACTTTCCGTTCCTCGTCACTTTGTCACTTTCTAGCATTCCTTAGTACTTCTTCCATCTGTTTGGCACTGTTTAGGGTGATCCTCAAAGGCCGATCTTTCCCGTTCACATGCTTTCCAATACTCCTGTAGTAGCAGACATTCTCTATGGTAGTAAGACCTTCCACGAGGCCAACAATTTTATCTACTACTTTCTCTTCTTCTACAGCTCTTTCTGACATAGATCTTATCCAAAAATTATGAGGTACTTTGATCAACTGTGTTTTGCACCAATTTAGGATTTGATGCCAGTTCCTTTCTGCCTTCCAGCCTAATGTTTGTTTTATCTTGGTTGCTGCAGTGTTTGACTTCCTTTACTGCTTCTTCTATTTTTTCCTTCTCCTTGGCCACTTGTGCATAGGTGAGTTGCATATCTTTCTTGCACTGTTCTATTCCCTGTGTAACTTCCTCCATCTGTACTGACAAAAGCTGTTTTTCCTGTTGAATTTCCTTGCCTAACTGTTTTTTAAGAGTTTATTTTCCTCTTCCATGGCTTTGCAATTTGTTTCCAATTGATTCTTTTCCTTGCGTAAGTCTTTCACTAACTCCTCAAGACTTAAAACTTTGCTTGTCAAATGGTCATTACTTTCTTTCAATTTGCTGATTATTTCTACATAATAGTTCACTATAATATCTAATTTTGCCAATTTGTTGTGTAGACTGCCTATATCAATGCTTTCTTAGTTATAACCCCCTAAAATCTAGCTCTGTTTTGTTTTCCTTCTTGCCGGCGGCCATCTTGAATGTTGTTGTTTGCACTGTGAACACTAGGGTAACTTTTTCTCATCCAATTTTTTACTTCACTTGGCTCATTTGTGTTATCTCGCCTATTTTTCCAAAGCACTACACCTTTATGTTCCTTGTGACACCACTCACCTGTACTACAATACTTAGGAATTGTGAAATATCTTGGAGCTCCTCTGATACAAGTGTTGACACAAGGGGTGTCACCCTTTGAATGGTGCGGCACTGGCGAAGCCACTTCAGCTTGCATTCGGGATTGAAATTGAAATTGAAATAAGTTTATTGAGGTAAAATACACACAAAGGGATGAGGTAGCTCAAGCTATTCTCACCCTGTTCAGTACATTGTGTTAATACATACATAGACACACATCACAAGCAATAAACGCATAACCGAACATTCTGAGAGATAAACATATACGAATTTTACTTCTGCCCCGTTTTGTAAGTTTTCACGTCCTTTGTTTTACCTCCGGACTGCTCGTGCGCTGCCTGAGTCATCCTAGTCCTTCGACAGCGTGATCTCATTTCTCTCTCCTCAGTTTGTGGCTGCTCCTTTGGTTCAAGATTGTTTTTCCATGTCTTAGTTTCTGTTGGCATTGGCTTTTGGGGGTCATATTGGCAAGCTTCATGCTCTCCTCTGGCCCAGGGGTTTTTGCTTTTTCAGTCCTTGTGGTCGGTTTGTTCGGTTGCAGCTATCTCCTTCTTTTCTGGCAAAGAACGAGATGGCTACTTTCTGGAGGGGCGCTTGGGTCATTGATGCTTGGTTAGTCAAATTGGGGGTGAATCCTGTGTCTGGTTGTGGCTCTTCGCCGTCATCTGCGTTATCTATCCATGTGCCCATGACGTTCGTAAGCTTGTTGCTTTGGCTGCCATGTTCGGTAACATGTCTTGGGCTGACATTCAAGCACAGGGATTTTAGAGGTGGAACAGGATCCGGGCCGCCCATTATTTGGTTAATATTCCTGGTCCTGGTCGTTCGTGTGTGGCTTTGGATCACAAGCTGCAACCAGTTGTCTCGAGTTGAGGAGCGCCTGGCAGCCACCTCCCGGGTAAGTCCCTCTTTTTACTTTTCTTTGGTTATGTAGCTCCAATGAGCCGAAGGGGCTCCCCACAGAAAAACAGTATTGAATGTGATGAAACGCCATTTTCTGTGAGAGCCCCTGGCGCCCAACTTCCCTCCGGTCGGCGGTTTCATTTTGTTTTTGATACGTGGCCTCCGAACTAAGGGTGTGAGTAGCTGGTGCAAGGGGATCCGGGGCTTCCCCTCCCCCTCCTGGGGAGGGGAGGGCAGCACGGCGGCGGTGAAGACGTTTGCATGTTTGCTTGGGTGTTGGGGGAGTTCTACCTCTGTTCAGTCTTCGTTTGCAATTTTCTTACCAAGTGGGGTTTTTTTTTTTTTTGTTATGCCTACCTTTCTGGGTAGGCATAACTACCTACCTTTCGATGGCAGACATGGAATGCTCCCAATCACATGGGGGGTTCCATTGACCATTGCTCCTTGTGCCTCTCTGAGGTGGCCAGGTTCTGACTTGTGGTCCCTGGTAGCACCATCGTGGTTGCTTACCGGCAACCACGATAGCTCCAGTTGACTGATGCCCCAGACTAATACTGTATATTGCATATCAGTCTGATAGATCCAGGGAGTGTCTGGGGCTCACCCAGAAAATGGCATTTCATTACATTTAACTTTGTTTTTTTCCCCACAATATGTTTTGGGACGATATTCAGGCGCTGGGGTTATGGGGGTTGAGCAGGGTCCTGGCCGCCAGGTATCTCATGAACGTCCTGAGCCCCCTTGTGGCCTTGTGATGTTGGGGTGCTTGTCACGGCCATCTCTCTTCCTCGCATTGAAACCTGCAGTTCTGCGGCCTCCCTGTTAAGTCCCAGTTTTTAAGTCCCAGTTTTTAAGTCCCAGTGGGTAAGCCTTCAGGGATCTGACGGGCTCACCACAGAAAACCAGTGTTAAATAAAATGAAATGCTAGTTTCTGGGTGAGCCCCGGAGGCTCCGTGACCCTCTCCATCCCTCCCTCCGGTGGGGCGGCTATCATCATTCAAGAACTGAAGGGTGAGGAGCCCAACTGATCCAGGCCGACTCCCCTCTCCCCCTTGGGGGGATGGCGCTAACAAGCAGGGGGGAGCTAGTTGACGAAGTGTTGCTTGTTTTTCTTTCTGGGGAAGTTCTTTTGCTGTTTAGGGGATGTAAGTTGCATTTTTAACCAGACAGTGGTCTGTTTTGTTTCACCTACCTTTCTGGCTGCTTTTCCTGGTTGATGGCAAGTATGGCTGACTTTAAATGTAAAGTGTTTGTGGGCCATTGCTCCCTGTGCCTCTGTGAGGGGGCCAAGTTCTGGCTCGTGGTCCCCGGTAGGCATATGAACTGTGACCGATGACCCCAACTAATATAGCACTACTTCACTTCTGGATAGCTTAAGGAAGCCTTCAAGCCTCATCCAGAAACTAGCGTTTCATTACATTCAACTGTTTTTTTTTCGTACTTGTATTGATATGTCAAAGGTGGTGTTCATTATGTATAACTTTGAAAATACAATTATATGCAGATACATGTGCATAAATACATGCACACCATGTATTTATTCATACTAATATATATTTACCAGGTATGTATAAGTCTGAATCTTATAATTATCCATAGCACACATTTTGCCTGTAAATATATGTATTGTACATGGTAATCACTCACTTGCTGCAGTTAAAAGTTCACTGGCTCCTGGTATGGCTGCCATGCACGTTCACACACTGGATGGTGATGTGCCAGTCATGGTCCTTGTCTTTTTACTAAAGCCCTAGAAGGAAAGTAAGGAACTCTTGATTTTTTACAAGATGGGTGATGGTTACTGGAGGCTTCAGTAAGCAAATGAAAGCCTCGTGTATATGCAGGACTTTTAAATCTTTTGTGGTACTTTAAAACAGCTCCAGCCATTATGCACAGTGGAAGGGTTAACCAATATGTAACTTGTAACTTATAAAGTGTTAAATATGTAAGAATTGGGAGGTGAATGAATTTATGATAATTTAATTTCAGGTTGCTGGAGCTGATATTCTACGTCATTGTCGACTTGTTCAGGCCAGCTGTGGAGCAGCTTGCCATGCACACACCGATCATCAAAGTATGTAATGATTCTTTGTTTTAAGGTCTTATTTTGACTGTTCTCTATATCTGCTGAGCACAGACACTATTAAAATATTTTCACCGCTGAAATTTGGATAATGGTGGCAAATATAAATGCTGTATTTTTTAACCCTCTGATATTTTTTTCTTAGAGTTAAAGAAAAAGTGCATTATTATTATGTGTGTGATTTACTGGAGTTTAGTGTTACTTATTTATCCATGTGCCTGATCAGGTAAATGAAGGATCATAATGTTTTGTGAATTTGTTCCAGTTTTTTCAACATGGGCTAATGTTGAACAAACCTTATCCATGCCCATCACCCGTCCGGCCGTATGTCCATGTCCATCACCCACTCGTCTGTCCATGTCCATCACCCACTCGTCTGTCCATGCCCATCACCCACCCGTCCGTCCATGCCCATCACCCACCCACCCATCCGTCCATGCCCATCACCCACCCACCCATCCGTCCATGCCCATCACCCACCCATCCGTCCATGCCCATCACCCACCCACCCATCCGTCCATGCCCATCACCCACCCATCCGTCCATGCCCATCACCCACCCATCCGTCCATGCCCATCACCCACTCGTCTGTCCATGCCCATCACCCACCCATCCGTCCATGCCCATCACCCACCCATCCGTCCATGCCCATCACCCACCCATCCGTCCGTCCATGCCCGTCACCCATCCGTCCGTCCGTCCATGCCCGTCACCCATCCGTCCGTCCATGCCCATCGCCCATCTGTCCGTCCATGCCCATCACCCACCCGTCCGTCCATGCCCTTCATCCATTTGTCTACTTATCCATGCTCACCATCAGTTCATCCAACAAGGGTCAGTTCATCCAACAATGGCCACCACTTACCTGTTCATTCAACTATGTGCACCAGCCAAAGAAATGCAAAGTGCTGGCCGGTAGCACAGGCACTCAGTATAGTGTGGAGGAAAAGCTTGGACATGGAGGAGATACCAGATGCACTTAAAGTAGCAGACATAAATCGAGGAACTCAATAAGAAATTTCAGGAAGTCTTCACCTCAGAGCAAGGAGAAGTCCCAGAGATAAGGAAGGGAACATCAAACCAGACACCACTAGAGGAGTTTGTGATTACCAGCGGGGAGGTGAGGAAGCCTCTGCTAGATTTGGACGTGACAAAGGCTATAGGCCCAGATGGAATCTCCTGGTTGATACCTGGTTGATGGGGTTCTGGGAGTTCTTCTACTCCCCAAGCCCGGCCCGAGGCCAGGCTTGACCACCATGGCTTGAATCTCACCATGGATTCTAAAGGAAGGAGCAGAAGCTCTGTGCCTACCACTCTCCATGGTGTACAAGAAGACACTGGTAATAGGTGAACTGCCAAAAATTTGGAAGATGGCCAATGTAGTCCCAATATAGAAGAAGGGTGATAGGCAGGAGGCACTGAACTACAGGCCAGTGTCCCTAACTTGCATTCCATGCAAGATGATGGAAAAGATTGAGCATGGGTTCAGAGATGGCAAATCATGCCTATCAGGATTAATTGAGTTCTATGACCAGGCAACAAAAATCAGGCAAGAGAGAGAGGGCTGGGCAGATTGCATATTTCTGCCCAGTAATAATAATAATTAATAATTTTATTATTTCGAGGCCATAGGTCACTGAACTGTGGCAACGAAATCGAACGAAACAGACATGGTGCTGTGTGTACAAGGATTAGACCCGTCCACTCGTGCTGTAGTTGTTGTTCCAATAACATAAATAATTTATCAAATAGCAGATGTCTATTATATTACAGTATATTTTGGGTTTTATTTAGTTTAGTTTAGTTTAATTAGGATAATAAACAGCTATTAAAACACTTGTTTTAGAAATGATTTATTAGTCTGAAACTTTCATGTGTCACTGAACTATGACGACACAGACAAAGGAAAACCAAGTGAGGTTTACAGTACAATATTCCCTTATCTGTCCACCCTCACTCATCTTGTTTCATCACAGAAAATGTCTATAAGGAGATTTTACCACATGTAGTTAGCTAATCATGCTTCAGCCTTAAATTAATTTACAAAGATATACGTGTGCCACAAATCGGTGAACGAAAATCATGGAAACTTGGTTGTTCACTTGTGTAGAGCACTCTGGCTGGTGTTTGGTTAATATAGTTCACTTGTGTGATCCAACTTGTCATATGAAGGAATTATTAATTGTTACCTGTGATAGAATGGGAAAGTTTTCCACCACTGTCCCAACATCGTAACTTTGTGGTCCACTTGTGTGGTCCACTTGTGTGGTCCAACTTGTCATATGTAGGAATTATTAATTGTTACCTGTAATTACCTAAGTGTAATTACCTAAGTGTAGTTACAGGATGAGAGCTACGCTCGTGGTGTCCCGTCTTCCCAGCACTCTTTGTCATATAACGCTTTGAAACTACTGACGGTCTTGGCCTCCACCACCTTCGTGCTTCCACCACCTGTGATAGAATGGGAAAATTTTCCACCAGTCTGTAAACTCTGTCCTGATATTGTAAGCAAATCCATACATCCCCCGCTTCAGCAAACAATTGTTCGTCGAACCGGGTGAATAAATCCGGCCTGAAAAGTATGCGACCTAGAAGATTCGTTGAATCAGGGTACGTTGAATCGAGGTTGTACTGTATTTGAAGCTTTCACAGAAACCCATGCAGGGGAATTTATATACAGTGAGTTCTGAATACCAGAATACCTTCTTGAGGTTATCTTGAGATGATTTCGGGGCTTTTAGTGTCCCCGCGGCCCGGTCCTCGACTAGGCCTCCACCCCCAGGAAGCAGCCTGTGACAGCTGACTAACACCCAGGTACCTATTTTACTGCTAGGTAACAGGGGCATAGGGTGAAAGAAACTCTGCCCATTGTTTGAGATATATACAAGAGTTGTTACATTCTTGTACAGCCACTAGTACGCGTAGCGTTTCAGGCAGGTCCCTGGAATACGATCCCCTGCCGCAAAGAATCGTTTTTTCATCCAAGTACACATTTTACTGTTGCGTTAAACAGAGGCTACAGTTAAGGAATTGCGCCCAGTAAATCCTCCCCGGCCAGGATACGAACCCATGACATAGCGCTCGTGGAACGTCAGGCGAGTGTCTTGCCACTACACCATGGAGACTGTTTCTCGCCGGCGCCTGGGATCGAACCCAGGACCACAGGATCACAAGTCCAGTGTGCTGTCCGCTCGGCCGACCGGCTCCATAATCTACCTGTATAATCTATATAGATGTGATAGGGTAAATAGGTCACATGGAGGAGTAGATCTGTATATTAGAGAAAACGCTGTATGCTCAGAGCTCCTTAGCTTTACAGATAAGGTGGTTGAAGTACTGGGAGTAAAAATAGATAAAATAAACTTGATTATTATTTTAATATACAAACTGCCAGATGCAACGGCTGAGGGATTCACAGAACAGATAAACAAAAATAGAGAATAGCTTCAATAATTTGGCAAACCCAATTCAGTACCTCGTATTATCTTCCAAGGTGACTTCAGCCTGCCTGGTTTAAGATGGAGAATACCAAACAATAATAATATACCAGGAAATCTATCTGGACATAACCAACCACAGATTACACAACTACTTAAATTTTGTGACAAATTTTCAATCAACCATCAGATATCAGAGCGAACTAGGAGCGAAAATATTCTAGATCTGGTCTTCACAAACAATGAAGACATAATAAGAGACATTACAATCTCAGATACCACATACTCAGATCACTAGCTCATTGAAGTGCACACTAACATCAGTACTCATAATAGACCTAAAACAATGATCAAGCGAGAGGGGTTATTCAGTAAGTTTAATTTTATTAATAAAAGGATAGACTGGGAGAAAATAAACAAGGAATTTAAAACATTCAATGGGAAACTGATCTAAGTGATAAAATCTCACACAAGGAGTAGAACAACTGACTTCTAAGGCATATAAAGTCTGAAACTTGTTTCTTTGAGGAAAGCCAGAAAGTGGTCCAATGTAAAAAAAAAATGCAGGCGAACGACATTTCAAAAGAGAAAAAAATACTGGAAATGCTTAAGCAGACGTGACTTTCCCTACAAAGGGAAAAAATCTAGCAAAGACTGAAGCATTCATATCAGATTGAAAAAATGCAACTAGAACAGAAAGCAATACAAGAAATAATAATAATAATAAAAATATTTGTTCACAAATGCAAAATCTAAAGCAAAAACCACTGCCAGTGTTGGACCTATTCGTATAAGTGAAAGTTCTTACACCGAGGATGACAGAGAAATTAGTGAAATCCTAAAAAAAAAATAAAAAAGCAGAATGAGGGCATGTTTAGCACTCCAATAAACAGCATGAAAGTGGAAGATCCGGACAACTACGTATATACAGTGGAACCTCTATTAACGAGTGGCTCTATTAACGAGTTTTTCCAGTAACAAGCAAGCCACTCGCAGCAAATTCGTCTCTATTGACGAGCTCGCCTCTATTAACACTTTCGCGCTATCTGGACGCGCCGGCGCGTTCGGTTTCGTCTAACGTAAACGCATAGTGGACATAAAGTTATGTCAACTTTTAAAATATTTGTATAAAATTCAATTTTTATCCGATTTACTTTGGGTTTAATTCAAACTGCGCGCTATGAGGCTCTCTTTCTCACCACTAGGCTGCATGGTACAATAAGTTCATGAAAGGTGTGGATAACTTCGATCAAATGGTATTTTGTCCCAAACGGGTTGCAGGTGGGTGACTTTAGCCGTTTATACTGGTAATTCTTCCCCCATATCATGTATTATATGCATATGTCTGTTTAGGGAATTTTATTCCGATCAATATACAACCAAAAATAACTGTGTGCAACAAGTATAATCTTGACAAACATAACAAAAGTAAAAATATTTCGTGTGTGTTTGACGCTCACTGATATGTTCCAGCGTTGTTTTATATTTGTCGCTATTCTAACTTACGCTTTGTTGATATTTTTTACCTATGGGCACATAGAACATTCTATTGCGAACACATTGACATAAAAATGAATGACGTACATAGAAAATTAATGTCATGAGAGTGAAATAAGTATAAACTTTCAAAGCGCCGTGCGTCGTCCCGTCACCGATACCGGGTAACAATTTCACCACTTCCCACACTCTTGCGGGCGGGCTGCATCATTATTCTACGCTTATATTCATATCACCGTGTTGGGAATTTCATTGCGAGTCCATTGATACCAAAATTAACGCTGTAGAACAAGTGTGGACGTGATTACAATCCCAAGAGTAAAAACATTTTGTTGCTGATGGGCGCTCACGGCGAGTCATCTACGTAGTTATTTATTTGGTGCTGGTATTCCTATATGTTTCGTGACTTATTTTACTAATGTTCTTCTAGAGAATTTTATTGCGAACACGTTGGTACCAAAATGAAATACGTAGCATGAGAACTAAGGTCAGAAGAGTAAAAAGAGTATACACATTTTTGTTTTTACGCTTAAGCGATAAAAACGCAGCGCGCACATTCGGTTGGCTGAGTGACCTTTGCGGAGAGCGCGAAAGTGTTAACGAGTGAAACCACATGGCGCTTCCTAGCGTCTCGCGGGTTCTCGCAAATTCTCGGACGCCTCCGACGCCAGTGTTGTTGTTGTATCTCACATGACAAGCATCCCTCTGGATTTATTTGAGCTTTTCTTTGGGTTTTTAGTGGTTTTGCGACTACAATTTGTAACACGATGTCTCCAAAGAAGCTGCTTGCTAAAGATAGTGTTGTCAAGAGGAAGAAAGACACAATTACTGTGGATTTAAAGAAGGAAATTATAGCAAAGCATGAGTGTGGTGTCTGTGTGACTGATCTCACAAGGGAGTATGGCAGGTCCTCATCAACAATTTACACCATTAGTAAGGGAATGAGGAGGTAAGGGAGGATGCTGCCTCTTCCACTGAGATCAGGGAAGTGTTTGGAATGTTTGAAAAGGTGAATGCATTCTTGGAAAAGCTGCCCTGATAAAGCAGTGACAACCCGGTGTGTGAAAATGTTTAATTAATTTATCACTTTGTGATAACACTTTATGAAAGTTATGTCGCTTGAACGTGACACACTTTTTTCTCTTGAATGCACCCCAAACACCGCGCTGAAGCGTCATTTGAGCAAATATTTCTATAAAATCCAATTCTTATCCGATCGACTTGGGGATTGTATACATGTTTGCCATGAAATTTCCGTTTTCTTTAATAACCACATTGCCTATTTGAGAAAACGGCATTGTATTGTATCTTTGTGGTATGACTATTATATTGTTGACACAACGAGTGTAATCAACGTAGTTTTTTATTTGGTGCTGGTCTAACGCATCCTTGTGTGACATTTGAAATGAAATTTGAGTGAAATTCCCAAGAAGAGAGAGTCCGCCTGACTCAGAGGTGGATTCTCCTTCTACACCATAACCCCTCTCCTCCTTCCCACCTCTCCATTGTCTCCCTCAAGCCAGCAACTACTCTTCATAAGGTAAAGTAAATATTAAAACACTACAACAAAACATTTATATTTACATGTGCAGTATTATATTTACATAAAAAAAAGTCATACAAGTATGGAAGTTTTTGGGAGTGGAACGGATTAAATTTATTTCCTTTATTTCAAATGGGGAAATTTGTTTAAGACGAGTTTTCCAGGTAACGAGCTCGGTGCCAGAACGGATTAAACTCGTTAATAGAGGTTCCACTGTATAACTAATATCAACCTGAGCTTGGCAGATTTTGAAAGAGAAATTGCATGCACTCAGCCCCGGGTCCAGACTCATGGAATTCATTATTTATAAAGTAATGCAAAGTGCCAGTAGCACAGGCACTCAGTATAGTGTGGAGGAAGAGCTTGGACACGGGAGGGAGATACCTGATGCGCTTAAAGCAGCAGACATAGCCCCTCTACACAAGGGAGGGAGCAAAGCATTGGCAAAGAATTATAGACCAGTTGCACTAACATCCTACATAATACAAGTATTTGAGAGAGTGATTAGGAGTCAGGGGCCAGATTCACGAAGCAGTTACGCAAGCACTTACGAACGTGTACATCTTTCCTCAATCTTTGACGGCTTTGGTTACATTTATTAAACAATTTACAAGCATGAAAACTTGCCAATCAACTGTTGTTATTGTTATAAACAGCCTCCTGGTGCTTCGGAGCTTATTAACTGTTTAATAATTGGAAACAAAGCCGCCAAAGATTGGGAAAAAATGTACAGGTTCATAAGTACTTGCGTAAGTGCTTTTGTGAATCTGGCCCCAGGTCACCATTTTCATGGAGACCAATGACCTTCATAACCCAGGCCAACATGTTCATAACCCAACAACCAACAAGATTTAGAGCGGGAAAATCATGCCTCTCACGGCTACTTGACCACTATGACAAACACTTAGGCATTAGAAGAAAACGGAATGCAGCTGTGATATACATAGACTTCACAACGGCATTTGATATATGTGAGCATGGAGTGATAAGACACAAAATGAGGTAAATGGGAATAACAGTTAAAGTAGGAAGGTGGATATTAAATTTTCTGTCGTACAGAACACAAAGAGTAACAGTCAACCAAATAAAATTGAGTCCAAGTGCAGCTCTGTTCCTCAGGTTACAGGGGTACAGTCCTTGCACTACTGCTTTTTCATTATTTTCATATTAGATATAGACAAAAATACAAGTCACAGCTTCATATCATCCTTTACAGATGACACAAAAATCAGCATGAAAATTACCTCTGCTGAAGACATTTAAAAACTACAAGCAGATATTAATACAGCTTTCAACTGGGCAGCAGAAATTAACATGATGTTAAACAGTGATAAATTCCAGGTACTCAGGTACAATAAAAAGGAGGACCTTAAACAAAATACGGTATTAAATACAGTCGGGAATAATTATGTCCGACGACCTAACATTTAGGGAGCATAACCAAGCAAATATTGCATCAGCCAGAAAAATGATAGGATAGATTACGAGAACTTTCAAATCCAGGGATCCCATCACAATGGTTGTACTATTCATTACTTACTTTCCCCTTCAGAGCAGGAGAGATTGCTGAAATAGAGGGAATACAGAGAACATATACGGCATACATAGATGCGATGAAGCACCTAAATTATTGGGATCATCTCAAAGCTCTCCAAATGTACTCAATAAAAAGGAGATGAGAGAAATATTAAATAATATACATGTGGAAGATACTGGAGGGCCAGGTACCAAATCTACACAGTAAAATAACAACATACTGGAGTGAACGATATGGAAGAAAATGCAGAATAGAACCAGTGAAGAGCAGAGGTGCCATAGGCACAATCAGAGAACACTGTATAAACATCAGAGGTCCACAGTTGTTTAACATCCTCCTATCGAGTATAAGAAATAGTGTTGGAACGACAGTGGACATCTTCAAGAGAAAACTAGATAGTCAAAAAGTGCAGGACCAACCGGGCTGTGGTCCTGCACAGCCTAGTAGTCCAAGCTCTCATAAGTCAAGCCTGGCCCCGGACTGGGCTTAGGGAGTACTGTAGTTGTTGATTTGTGTCTCCTTTGGCCTAGTCTTGAGCCACCAGGATCGGTGTGGTCTCTGAGCCGGGTGCTTCCCCTTTTCTCTCTTCTGCTCATTTTTCGTTCTCCACTTTGGTCTGGTTTTCTTTTCTTTGGGCTTTTTTTCTAGGTCATCTTGGCTTCCGGCTACTGTGTAGGGTTTCGGTACTGTGCTGCTGCCGTCTTTAAAGGAAATACATTTACTTAGTATTCAAAAGCTGTGTTTGTATTGCACAATCCAGTTTCTTAAAAATTAAATACACGTCTATTAAATGCTTTATATATCCCCCCTAAAATAAAATATTTTCCATATTTGCTTCCAGGTTACCACTTGTGCACCATTTGACTAATGTTTGTTTTAATAACCTTAAAGATGTCGTGCCATTCTTGCCCACAGTTACTTGTATGCAGTATATAATTGTTTACAGGTATTCTTGAGGCTTCGGGTGTCTGCTCATTCCATGCCTCGCGCACTATTCGTCTGAGCCTTGGACGGGACACCACAATGGAGGAAATCGACTTGGCTATTCAGGACATCAAGCAAGCAATTGACAAGTTGATTGGGCGGTCATTGTAAAAATATTGGTGTTTGAAAGCATCACTTGAAATGTGTTAAAAAAAGCCTTAATGCTGAATAGTAAGGCTTTAGTACATCATGTAGCTCTGCTCCATATTAAGGTTGATGCTCTGGCAATCCTAAAATAGAAACCAATGTAAATATGTGACTGGATCCACACCACACAGATACCTGCATTATGCACAATGGACATGCTGTATTTACAGAAAACTTTTATATAACTAAATTAATCGTGTATGAGAAGTTGATTCATTATAGTTTATTACAATTTTACAAATTTCTTATTAAAATTTATATGTAATTTTTGGCTAAATATATTTTCAGTTATTACTCAACATAGATATTTATTGTACTAAGGTTGGATTATATATTTTAATACATTAGTTTCGTTACTATTGTAATTTTTTAATTATCTTTTGGCAGACTGTTTCTTGTAAAGTAGAGTGTGCTTTATATATTGATGGTGATACATACACCACAAAGTGGATAGGCTAGTTTGTACTTAAAATGGCAAAGTGACGCTCTTCTATTTGGCTTTTATTCGGGTGCATATTGAGCCAGAACATGGAGCCAATTTTAATGACAATGCATCAAATTCACTTATTTTATTGAAGCAGAATTATGATGACCAGACCACACACTAGAATGTGAAGGGACGACGACGTTTCGGTCCGTCCTGGACCATTCTCAATCGACTTGAGAATGGTCCAGGACGGACCGAAACGTCGTCGTCCCTTCACCTTCTAGTGTGTGGTCTAGTCATCATACTTTAGCCACGTTATTGTGACTCATCTCCTGCAAGCAGAATTAGTCACATGAATTTAAAACTTATTTAAGAATCATATAATTGTGATCAATTTAAAAAATATGACCTTTTTTATTTTAAGGAATGACCAGCATGTAATTTGTTTATTTCCTGTGTACAAAGTGACTGGTGTTGAGGGTTGGTGTTGGGGTATGGAGTAATATTTTGGACACTAGATCTACTTGACAATATGCTGTGATATGCTGTATTTTGCATGTTTTCATTACCAATTATGTTAAGTATTGATACCACTCAACCCTTGATGTGACTTTGTGGAAATGATAAGATTGACTCTGATACTCTACTGTATAGTAAAATAAGAAATGATAAGATTGACTCTGATACTCTACTGTATAGTAAAATAAGACAACTAAAAAATATGTACAGTACAGTATTAGGCATTTTATGTCAGCTGAAAATGCCATGGGTTCTGCTATTATATCAAATAATTTTGAAAACTTCTTTAATCTGGCTTTCTTCTGGTTTAGCTAAAAAAAATCTACTTTAAATTGTTTTGTTTTATATATGGTGAGGATGAAGCAAAGTATAAAGTTTACAAAATTTCAACGGACATAGTGTACAATATTCGAGAAAAGTATAATGACTAATGTGTGAGTGCCAGAGTTGAGTAGGCCAGCAGGCGGTGGTTACGAAGTGTGTGCCTAGTCCAGGGCCCCAACGTGACTGTGTGAAGCTATGTGCGCACTTTGGCCAGGATTGGAATGCTCAACTTAATATTAATGGAGACCCATTAATGCATGACCCCATTAATTGGGTTATATTGTCATTTCAGTAATACAAAAGCTAAATGCGTACCTTTTGTACGATAAGCTTTTATGTCTTCGGTATCTTACATTTGATATAAAGTACATATTTGAGCATGACATGTTAATAATTTCTATATTTTGGACCATTATCTTTTCCCAATTACATGGACTAGGTGATGTGTTTTAACGCTGCTCATTGTAGGTCCCGTTAGGTGCCACCCACTACAGATGCTGTGATCCACCTGTCCCTGTAGTAAGCCAACTACTGGGAAAGCTGGACCAGAACCTCTTGTAGTAGGCATTCTACAGGGCTCTGATCCAGCTGCCCCTGTCATTTTCCCACTACAGGGACTCTGGTCCAGCAGTACCTGTAGTAAGCCCACTACAGGGACTCTGGTCCAGCTGTACCTGTAGTAAGCCCACTACAGGGACTCTGGTCCAGCTGTACCTGTAGTAAGCCCACTACAGGGGCTCTGGTCCAGCAGTACCTGTAGTAAGCCCACTACAGGGACTCTGGTCCAGCTGTACCTGTAGTAAGCCCACTACAGGGACTCTGGTCCAGCAGTACCTGTAGTAAGCCCACTACAGGGACTCTGGTCCAGCTGTACCTGTAGTAAGCCCACTACAGGGACTCTGGTCCAGCAGTACCTGTAGTAAGCCCACTACAGGGGCTCTGGTCCAGCAGTACCTGTAGTAAGCCCACTACAGGGGCTCTGGTCTAGCAGTACCTGTAGTAAGCCCACTACAGGGGCTCTGGTCTAGCTGTACCTGTAGTAAGCCCACTACAGGGGCTCTGGTCTAGCTGTACCTGTAGTAAGCCCACTACAGGGGCTCTGGTCCAGCAGTACCTGTAGTAAGCCCACTACAGGGGCTCTGGTCTAGCAGTACCTGTAGTAAGCCCACTACAGGGACTCTGGTCTAGCAGTACCTGTAGTAAGCCCACTACAGGGACTCTGGTCCAGCAGTACCTGTAGTAAGCCCACTACAGGGACACTGGTCCAGCTGTACCTGTAGTAAGCCCACTACAGGGACTCTGGTCCAGCTGTACCTGTAGTAAGCCCACTACAGGGACACTGGTCCAGCAGTACCTGTAGTAAGCCCACTACAGGGACACTGGTCCAGCAGTACCTGTAGTAAGCCCACTACAGGGACACTGGTCCAGCAGTACCTGTAGTAAGCCCACTACAGGGACTCTGGTCCAGCAGTACCTGTAGTAAGCCCACTACAGGGGCTCTGGTCTAGCAGTACCTGTAGTAAGCCCACTACAGGGGCTCTGGTCCAGCAGTACCTGTAGTAAGCCCACTACAGGGGCTCTGGTCTAGCAGTACCTGTAGTAAGCCCACTACAGGGGCTCTGGTCTAGCTGTACCTGTAGTAAGCCCACTACAGGGACTACAGACCAGAGCCCCACTACAGGGGCTCTGGTCTAGCAGTACCTGTAGTAAGCCCACTACAGGGGCTCTGGTCCAGCAGTACCTGTAGTAAGCCCACTACAGGGGCTCTGGTCTAGCAGTACCTGTAGTAAGCCCACTACAGGGGCTCTGGTCTAGCTGTACCTGTAGTAAGCCCACTACAGGGACTCTGGTCCAGCAGTACCTGTAGTAAGCCCACTACAGGGACTCTGGTCCAGCAGTACCTGTAGTAAGCCCACTACAGGGACTCTGGTCTAGCAGTACCTTGAGGTAAATGTAGTGTGTTATAGATTTTTTTAAATTATTCTCTTAGTTGCTTTTTACTATGCAAGTGAGAGGTATAGAATAAATTCATCAAAAAAGGGTTTATTAAAAATGTTGGTATTATCATTTGTGAAGTTTGTGTGAACACTTTTATGGGGGTTAGATATTGCCACTGGTAAATGGTTTCCATCTTTAGCACTGGAGGTGAAGACGGTGGTATTAAGCAGGTACATATTCTAGGTGTACATTTCTTGTGGTCAAATGTGTATGAACTTGTAGTATGCAACACTGGAAAGACTTGCCTTCTCAAATTGGTTTGTTGAGTTTGCATCAGTAAAACATACCAAACTTAACGTTAAAATCCTATTCCTGTGAAGGATAAGTTTTATATCAAATTTTATATTAGTTTAAAGAAGCCCTGTGAGTTTGTGTGTGAAACCCAATGTGATAACATACAATTGTCTGCATTTGCATTCCTTTTTGTTAATTCTATTTTTTGGCATGTACAGTATTGCTATGTTAATCTTTTAAAAAGTTTATTTCTCTAGTAATGTAAAGGTTTTGGACTTTACATTATATGGCAAATTAATTATTGTTATTTGTTTTGCATATTAATAGAGTTTTAAAGGTAATTTTCATGTCATGCTTATTGATGTCTTTAAATTTTTTTTTTACCTTCTACAGTAATGTATTGCCTAAATATTATAATGTTCTGGGGCTTTCCAATTCAACGAGACACTTATGTGAAAGTATTTTATGTTCATTGGGAGCCGGTCGGCCGAGTGGACAGCACGCTGGACTTGTGATCCTGTGGTCCTGGATTCGATCCCAAGTGCCAGCGAGAAACAATAGGCAGAGTTTCTTTCACCCTATGCCCCTGTTACCTAGCAGTAAATAGGTACCTGGGTGTTAGTCAGCTGTCATGGGCTGCTTCCTGGGGGTGGAGGCCTGGTCCAGGACCGGGCCGCAGGGACACTAAAGCCCCAAAATCATCTGAAGATAACCTCAAGATAACCACGAGTCTATATGTTTGAAGTCTCACTCACTCACTCACTTGGACTTTTAAGTCCACTCAAGCGAGCATTTACTGTATAGGGGCAATAAAATGAAATGTTTTAAATTTTTAGGCTTTGTTTTGTATTCGATACAAAATATTTAAATGTATGATAGCCTGTAAGATTTTCCAAGTATTTTCGTACGAGAAAATTTTAAATTTAATTGTGTTTGGGGGGAAAATTAAGTGATTCATATTCTTATATTTATATTATTTCTTATTTATGCGAGCTAAGACAAGTGATGGTTTTAACCCTTACACTGCTGACCAAACCACAATATTGCTTCCTGATTCAGCACCAGCTATTGAAACTGCCCCAAAGACATAATTCTTACATTATACATGTTTGTAAACATGCACTTAATCATATGTAAACAATATGTAGCATTTAATAACATATATTATTTCAGTGCCACTACAAGTTTTTCTGATAATAATAACCCTTAAACTGCGCAATACATAAATACATGATGGGGGTAACTGTCACAAAACCGCGCAATACATACATATACGATTGAGGGGGTCTAGCGCACGATTTTAAATGCCCCGCGAGGGATAGGGGCAGCTATAGTTCAGCCAAGGTCGGTAGTAAACAAACGCAATTTTGAAAAAAAATCGTGGGTAACATATCAGGGTGTGAGAGCCTCAGTACTGAGTGAGCAACCAAGGCTGGCACACGCAGCATGAGCTAACAGCACTGCTGTTCAGCTTGTGAATGCAGTATGGAGGCCTGGTCGAGGACCGGGCCGAGGGGACACTACAGCCCCGAAATCATCTCAAGATAGATCGCCTAAATATGTAACAATATATATGAACCTGCTATTATTTAGTGTTGATAGTATTATAGAAGACCCCTGACTGATAAAAATGACCAGAATTCTGATAATAGCAGGATTGTGGTGATAATTAGTGCTGGGGGGGGGGGGGGGGGAGTTGTCCTTTTGCCTTTTCTGCTTGTGGGCTTTTCCACTTTACCCTATTAGGTTTCTCGTAGGGTTTGGTGCGGTTAACTCCCCTTGCTGCTCTCTGGACTTTTCCGTTGGTTCAGGTCGCCAAGGGTGCCTGTACAAGTTCACAGGGATTACCGGTGTATCATTCCCAGTACCTGGGCTTCCTGTATGGAACTCTCACCATACAGGCCCTGAAAAACCTCTGGGCTCAGTTGTACTATGGGTACCTCTTCAGAGCCTGCTCTTATTTTGTGCGAATTTGTGGGTTGTTTGTTGTCTGTGCCACAGGGTGACGTTCATATGTTCTGCCTCCGCCATGCTTCCTGCTGGGTTGGTGAAACATTCGACCCTTTGTCATGTGGGCCTTGTTCCCCACATGTGATTCTTCTTGCCCACTCTCCTCTTGAAGTTCAGAAGTATCAGGCTGCGACCACTTTACATTTGAGGTTTCCTGTGTTGTAGAGATCAAGGTTGTGTGCCCAGTTGGATGCCCAAGATTTGCCCTGCTTGGTGTTTAGGGTCCGGGATTTGGTGGTGGTGGTTAATTTAACTGTGGTTTCAGGCGCACCTCTTCCTTTCCCGGTGAGCAGAGTTTGCCCGTCTCCTCCCATTTCCAGCTCTGAAACGTTTGAGGGTTTCGGAGTTGGGACAGGGCTTAGCTTGAGATGTGACTTGGTCTTATCCAGGGTTTACCTCTTCCAACTTAGGTGCATAGGCAGTTGAGCTCTTGCTTATGCCAAGGCTTCTGGGTCTTTCCAGCTGGCCCTGTCTTTTGAAGCTTCTCGCTTTGACTTCACTTTACTATCTCGGGCAGTGGGCGTAGACAATGGCTCCTCCCTGGGGCCCCTCATCTATGGTTCCCGGGGTTCGGGAGTATGCTTCCTGGGGCCCTTGGGTTCTGTACCTTCTGCAGAGGGCCTTATGTTGCAAGGGTGGGAGTCTTCTTATGCTACCCCTTCCTGTATGAGTTTGGGAGGTGTCTCCTGTATTGTAGGTGTTCTGGGAGGTTCTTTTGAGTCCCTCAATGTATGTCCCTGCTGTCTCCTGTGGGTCTCATGCAGCAGAATGCTCAAGTCCCTCCGTTGTCGGCTGCATTGCTTGCGGACAGCCTTCGTGCCCGCTCATACTTGGGTTCCATTGTGCACTTCTTCTGCCTCCTGGAGCTTCCTTCTGATTGGCTTTCGAAGAATGTCTCATCCTCCCCGCCTTTCCTCCCCTCCTCTCTTAGTCCTCTCCACCTTTCACCCCTTCCTCTGAATCCATAAGAATTAGATAGGGGGAGTCAATAATTACTAATATTTCATAAATCATTTAACTTAGGCCAATCCGGACCAGCTTATGTCCATTCCATACCCAGACCATTTACTCTACAAATTTAGGTAGTGTCCCTAAGTTTAGGTAAGGCTGTCCCCAAGCATCTGACCTCCAACTTTATGCAGATACACACACACATTCTCTCTTATAGTACAGATATATAATAATAAATTAGAGAAATGGAAATAACAGATGTTGTCATTGAATTACATCCCATTTACATGTGATTTTACAAATCGAACAGAAAGCATACATGCTTTTATCTCTTAACAAATGAAATTATACATAATTTACCTTATAAATAATACTGTATAGTATTTTAATACTATTCTACAGCACAGACTTTGCTAAATAGTCTTCCTGTCTTGGTGCTTTGATACCTTACTTTAACATAAATTTATTAATGCTTTTCAGAATTTTATGCTCTTAATTCTGTAAGAATTATTATTGTTATTATTATTATTTTCTTATATATAAATATATTAACAAAAAGTTCAGTCATCGGTGTAAAGGTTAAATCTTGATCTGGGCTCATGAATATACTTGATGTAAGTCATACATAGAGCCATGTAATCTCACGAATACAAATAAATTGGGACCAACGCCGATTATGATTTTTCAGGCAAACCGCATAATCTCTTCAATGTTTGTATTGTGCTGAAAAGGCAGCATTGTGTGCTTCCTCTTGGGGGTTATGGGCTCTCAGCAGTCTGCTGAAGGATAAGGTCATTTCTTTTTTCAATGTTGTGCGCTGTTCTTCTAGTGCAGCTCAAAATGTTGAAAGCAATTACAGAAATGTGGTGTTCAATTTACTGGTGTGTGACATATAGGCACATTAGTAAGTAATGAATAGGTCAAGATGTGGAGTTGTTTCTTAAATACCAGTTATCATATTTTAAAGTTGTTGTTTTGCCCAGAACCTGGGTAACTAATCATTTTGAGTTTTTGAATGGTGCCCAAATTTTTGGATTATTGTATATTGTGAAATATGAGTCAGTAATTTGATATTACAGAGACATATATTCAATAAAGGCCCACCTCACTTTTCTAACATGAGTCCATCAGTTGTCGCCTTCTATCAGCGAGTGGGAGCTAGTCAGTCTTGTAAAGCCTCATCCATGTCTATAGAGTTTAGACAGTACAACAAAGGCAAGAGATCTGAGTGACAACCTACATATTTCATAAAAAAACACAAAATCGATAAACAATGTTAAGTCATGCTTTAAATTGTAATTCCATTGAGAGGTTATGTAAGCTGTGTTATACATGTGCAAATTTGACATTGGTGTTATTGAGAGATGGGCTGTGTAGTTCCTACATACTGTACCTATTCAAAGACCTGCAGTTCATGTTGATCAGTATGTAAATATGGCATATTTTTCATGCCTAATTTAACATACAAACTCGTAAGTCATTTTAAACTTGATCACATATTAACAACCCGCAGTTTTGCTCACTTTTCCCCGATACTTTTTCTTCCCTTCATAATGTTTTCTTTTACATTTTCTATATAAAGATGCTTGTGTACAAGTTCAGAATGAATTCTTGATGCATCTGACTAACTTTGACATTGACCATCTTATGTCTATTCATATTGGCAGCCTGGGCGATATTTAGGAATTCTTGAATAGTCTGATAATTTAGACAGTGCTATAGGGCACTATAATTTTTTATAAATCAATTGGTGTATTTAGAACAGAATGACCCATGCCTAAGTCTCTTGGCACCTCCATGACTTTTCTTTAAGTCGCATACGTAAGTCTCTATGACTATATTGTCAGTGGGAGCTGACTGATGTTAGTTTCCAATGGTTTTATTAGAATCTTGGATGAAGAAGCATTTCTAGCCCTTTTAAGCCTATAATGTACTTTATTCTCATGTTCGTTCAGCAGTTAATGTTCCCATTTCTACAAAGGTTGAGTGGCTATTGAAAGTAGTTGTTTACTCTTAATAGTTTAGACACTTACTGATGGTAATGTAATTACATAAACAACGTACCGAAGTCAATTTGTTCCATTGTACTCCCATGCCCAGTATTTTTGTTGTACCTCCATTTCTAATGTTACTTTATGATTTAATTTACCAGCAGTCAGGTTTCACCGATTTTATCAACTTTATTATGATGAAAAGACATAATTTGGGTTAAAGTAGTGAGCCTTGATATTGACAAGTGTTTGTACGAGGGCTGTTCTGGTTCACTTCTCACACGAATATGCACAATAATAATCGTACCAGTAGAAATATCAGTCTGTATATGATAAGTTTTAATGAAGCATTTGAGCTAATACATTTTAAGGAAACATATGAGTTAATTTGTTTTAAGAAAATGTCATAATTTTATGTCATTTAATTATGATGCTGCAACAGCAATAGTTGTGTACATTTAGAATAATGAATCGTGAAACTGCCATTAGATATTAAATATTACCACTGTTTATATCAGTTAATAATAAGTATGCAACATCATTGTCTCAATCCCAAGTGTTCAGATGAAATGTTTTATACAATGACTATGAGATGCAGTGAAGGATCTGGCATCAAACAGTAGGTTAGCTTTCACAAAGAATCACAGTAGTATTGCTTATATAATGACTTTGCTCAAGTAATGTGAAGAAATACATGGTTGAATTGTGTTTGCCATTTTCTCATTGGAATTGCTTGTCTGTTTGCTTCTGTAGTGCTTTCCTTGTGATCTCATTTTATGATTTAAAATCAATATTTCAATGAATATCACCGCACAAATTACCTGCTCATTTTTTGACAGTTTGCCAAAAGGTTTAAGCAGTAATATAAGAATTTTAATATCTGTAACTATTACTATTTTCGTTTTCTTTTTTTTTCGGTAAGCCTGGCATTATAATTAGTAGCTATTGTATGATTTAGGCAAGACTCCTGGGAACATTGGTTTTGATGGATTGTGCATGACAATAAATTGTGTAGACTTACAATATACAGTACTGTACAATCAAAAGATTTGTTATAATCTCTCATGCCATATTTGCTGTGGAAACTCTTTAGTGTTTAAAGTTTGTGAACCGTTTAACTGATATGGTTTATGGAAAGAAACTATTTTTGTAATGAATATTGTCAATGTCTTGAAATATGTAGACATGCTGCTTATGACTTGTGATAGGTTTCTCTAGTAGATGTGCTGCTTAAAGCATTAGTTATAATTTTTATTCAATTAAGGAACACCATTGTGTCATATATGCTATACATTAGTTACGATGGGTGAATTTTTGAGATGGAAACGTTACTGGAGTTTTTACTGTGATTACTGTTTGGGCTTTTTTGTAGTTTATGACAAACATTGGTGTTCTGCTTGTGCTTGTACTGAGCTCCAGCTGCAGTGGCCAGGAGAGATGACTTGTTGTTGTTGTGGTCACTCTCAGCACGAGAGTCATCTATGGGGTGTCTCCAAGAGGCCAGCACGAGAGTCATCTATGGGGTGTCTCCAAGAGGCCAGCACGAGAGTCATCTATGGGGTGTCTCCAAGAGGCCAGCACGAGAGTCATCTATGGGGTGTCTCCAAGAGGCCAGCACGAGAGTCATCTATGGGGTGTCTCCAAGAGGCCAGCATGAGAGGCATCTATGGGGTGTCTCCAAGAGGCCAGCATGAGAGGCATCTATGGGGTGTCTCCAAGAGGCCAGCATGAGAGTCATCTATGGGGTGTCTCCAAGAGGCCAGCACGAGAGTCATCTATGGGGTGTCTCCAAGAGGCCAGCACGAGAGTCATCTATGGGGTGTCTCCAAGAGGCCAGCACGAGAGGCATCTATGGGGTGTCTCCAAGAGGCCAGCACGTTTAAAGCTGTGATCGTTTGTTGGTTCAGTCTTCCAGTATATTGAGTGGATAGAGTTTGAGGGTTTTGTGCCACTTGCATCACAGTTAAACATTGATCTAGCTCACCGGCCAACACATTTTTAGTTGGCAAATAAAGATGTATTTTAGAATAATTAGGTTGTTAGTGAAGCGAGTTTAATATGTTTAGGACTTGCAAATAACGAGAAAATAATAATATCCGTTGTTAGTGAAGCGAGTTTAATATGTTTAGGACTTGCAAATAACGAGAAAATAATAATATCCGTTGTTAGTGAAGCGAGTTTAATATGTTTAGGACTTGCAAATAACGAGAAAATAATAATATCCTGAGTTATATATTTGTGTATTGAAAATATTCCTAAAATAATGATGATAGTACTGGACTCTCAAACCATGTTGTAATTTCAATGCCTGCTCTTCTATATTAAAGTTAAACAGCTAATATTTACTGTGCCATAAAATGCCAACAAAATTTTGCTATTTTTTTTGTTTTGTTTTAATATTTTACATGAAATAAATATTTGTATGTCTTGATTATTGTTTATAAGGGTTATACAATCAGACTTCGTCTGAGAAATTTGATGTCTTAAAAATGTAGGGTTATAATTTTTTACTGTTTTTATATTAGTGTGAATAAATTAAATCAATTTACAAGTAAATTTAGATTGATAGCTTATCAGTGTGGTAGTGTGTGGTGCTAGAAACACCTATGTGAGGTTGATAATGCAGAAGTAGTAGAATTTGTTCAACAAATTTGTACTCTTATGTATGACACTATTGAGTGACTTGGCTGTAGGAAGCACATGGACAAGATAACCCTAACCAAAGGCTTCATTTCAAAGTCAGGATTTATTGCCTTATGGATTAATGAATTAAATGAGCACTAAAGTTAAGGCATGTGGCCCATATCAACTTTATGAACATAACTACTTAATTTACATGTGATAAATATCAAGATTCATCTTTCCACATTGAAGTGAATGAAGAACTGTGGAGCTACTTGCTGTGTTTGGCTGTGGTGTAGGAGGATCACAAGGCAGTCCAAGGTGCTCGACAAGGTCTGTCAGTAACATCTCTTGGAGTGGAGAGGCATTTTTTGAGAGAGATATCAACATTTTTTAAATTGTGTGCAATTAATTTTTCTGTGAAGCCTTTTCCCAAGTGTGATGCGGTTGAGTGAGGACATTCCAAACATTGCTACCTGAATGTTATGGTGCCAAGGCACCCTAAGCATGTGCTAGATTGAATTTTGAGTGATGTGGTTTGCAGAGCCCTATGATTGTTTCTACACACATTAGAAATTTACTTCATAATCATGTGCAAAAACCTTACACAAATGTATTTCAAGTGCATAAATTCACTACCAGTTTTAATTTTCCTTGTACTCGGTAAATAGTAAATGAAATGTTATTGTACTGCTCCATTTTAACTTGAAGTTATTACTTTCCATATTAGTTTGTGCTTACATCTTTCATGTGTGTGATCTTTCATAGGGCATGTAGAGTCGCTAGTCTGTGGGGTGAACGGGATGTTACAAACATTCCCAGCCACCATGCCCAAATTTTTAAAGAAACACTTTAAAGAGCTTTTCCGATACAGTACTATTAAACTGTTAAATATAACAATAAAGTATTGAAAACAATTGGGCTCATTCCTAGTGGAGCTTCAGAATTTGGGCAGCTGTCTCGGGTGAAGCATGGGACACTAAACAGTTGTAGTTGTAATGCTAAATAAAGCACTCAGTGTGAAACATGTGTTTTTATCCTGAATGGTATTAGAGACTTGAATAATGTCCCCTTCCCAGGCACTCCCTTAATGTGGTTAGGGATCTCCTGCAGAACATTTTCTGGCCATCGAGGGAGGCTTCCATTTCCCCTCAGTGGATGGTACCTTGATGTGGTGAGGGGCTCTTGTATGCTGCTTGCAGGTAGAAGGGGGTGGCTCCTGTTCCCTTGTGCCTGCTGTAATGGTGTATAAGCAAGTAAGTAATTATCAAAAGAAGGCACCAAACCCAGAAGGCTATGTAGCCCCAACAAATGTGCAGAATAATAAGAGGGCGCTAAATATCACCAAGGATGCCAATACGAGAACAAACGCATAAGGCGAACGATATCAAAAGTATTCGATTCACTAAGAAGGATAGTCGGCTGTCCCTCGATAATTCTATCGAGGGACAGCCGGAAAGCAAGACATATGCTCATCTTGGAAGTCAGGATATGCACGACCGTAAGAGGGACAATGCTCCTTATTCTCCAAATTTATATATAAATTTACTGGAAATAACAAATGGCCAATGCTGAATCTCGACAACCACTCGATGAATCGTATTAAAGGACCCAAGAGCCATGAGGGCACTACGAGTCAATGAGAAAGCAGGAGACAGAGAATAGAATAAAGTTCTCCTGTGAAGATGCTAGTCTCCGGAGTTAGGCGACACATAAGTGTGGTCAGAAAAAACAAGAGTAGCCTAAACCGTCCGCAGACTTGAGACCCATCAGTGAAGATGGAAACGAAGTGGGAGTGCGAAAAAAAGTGCTCGAGGAAAAGGCGTTTCAGAACTGTAGGAGGGATAAAAACTTTAGTGTTGCGGGTGAAGGATGTACAAAACTTCGGAAGGGGGACTCTCCACGGGGGCAAGGAAGGAACAATATGAGAAGAAATATTAGAAATACAAACTGAAAGAGAATCCTCTAAGCGAGATAACCGGAGAGAAAGAGGGAGGTGGTGAAGAGGAACAGGAACCGCAGGAGGGGTAAACGTTAAAGCACGACAGAGGCGAGAGAGGAAGGATATTGCAAGGACTGTGCAAGATAGCGAAGACGGTAGTTGATCACGGCGGTCCTGGAGAGACAGGAAGCCAGTGTCAACATACAAGCTAAGGATGGGAGTCGAACGAAAGGCACCAGAGCTGAGGCGCAACCCAGTATGGTGCAAAGCATCAAGACGGCGAAGAGTAGAAGGAGAAGCAGACGAGTAAGCAGGGCAACCATAATCGAGTTTAGACAGGACGAGAGAGGAATGTAAAGCGAGGAGAGTGCGCCTATCTGCTCCCCAAGAAGGATGGGACAATGCCTGAAGGAGGATAAGGGCCTTAGAGCATTTAACTCAAAGGTAAGAGATATGGGGAGACCAAGACAAACGAGTGTCAAAGATTTACCCAAAAAGCTTAGCGGAATCATTGTACTCAAGGGGATGACCATAAAGCGACATAGAGGGACAAAGAATGACATGCTTCCGAGTAAAAGTCATAGCACAAGTCTTAGACGCAGAGAACTTGAAACCATGATCGGTGGCCCAAGATGACACGGTATCAATTGCAAGTTGAAGCCGGCGCTGAAGGAGAGGCGAATCATCACCCTGACAGCAAAGGGTAAGATCATTGACATAGTCGAGAAGATGCCTGAAGGAAGAGAGGAAAGAAGACCATTGAGGGCAACCAGAAAAAGAGTAGTGCTCAGAACACTACCTTGGGGCACACCTTCGTATTGCTGAATAGTGGCAGAGAGAGCAGTATCGAGCGAGTCCTCAGGGACTGACGACGACTCCTATACCCAATTATACAGACTGTAAATACTGAGACGTGCAGGAGGGAGATGGCGAAGTATTTCATAATGAATGCCATCGGAGTCCACCACCGTAGAACCGCAGAGGGCCAGGGCAGACTGAAGTTCAGAGAGAGAGAGAAGGGATCGTTATAGGGAAGTCTGAGATGAGTGCAGAAATATAAAAGACGAGATTCAAAGACAAGTTTACGAAGAAGGAAGTTCGGTCGCGAGTTCGGTCGCGAGTTCGGTCGCGACCTGACACGGGTCCGCCTCAAGAGTACCATGGAGGTGAAGGACCGGTGAAACATCGGGAACGAATTTACCCGCTATCTTGCGGACACGCTTCCAGATCTGGGGCAGCGGAGTTTCAGATGGAATGGTGGAGACTTCCAACACTCACACTTAGCTGTATGGTTGGTCCTACGGGCCACCGCACTCGCCTTCCGAAACAAAAGAAAAGAATCAGCCGTCCGCCAGCGGCGGTCTCTCTTCCAGGCTGCACACTTACACACGGACCCTTCCACACTCTATAATTCTTGCTGGTGTCAGGTGCTCCGTTCAGGAGTACATTCCCTCTCCTAGACTTTGCAATAAGTGCTGGAAGTTTGGGCACGGTGTCCTCAAATGCTAATGTACTGTGTATCTATGCCCCATGTGTGGGGCCGATGATCACTCTAATTCCGAGTGCACTTCTTCCCAGGCTCGATGCATCAATTGCTTCCGCTTATGTATACACTACAAACTCGAGGAAGCCGTCCTCAACTTGAAACACCGGGATCGTCTGTCTTTTTCTGAAGCGAGACGCCAAGTTGATTCTACAAATCAAGGGACTCAGAATGTGGAATGACCTTCCCAACCATGTCAAAGACTGTACCTCTCTCAACCAGTTTAAGATAAAAACTAAACACTACCTAATAAATTCCCTGTAACCTACCTTACCCCTCTATTGTCAACCCATGTCTGTTATTTTTTTTTTAATCAACACTATTTGTCAACCTATTGTATTTGTGCTGCTTTTTCAGTCATGTTCCCCCTTTTTTTTTATCTTTATTTGTATTTGTTCTCAACACATTTTATTCTTTATGCTCAATTAGTATTAAGTTCTAGATATTAATGTTTTTCCTGCCCGAAACGCATTGCGTAACAAACGCTTTGAGTCAGAAACGTAAGCCTGGCTTTAGGCATTGTATGTACTAGCTCTATCTATATATCGATCCATTAATGTAACATTACTTGTATGTATGTACCCTTCCTGAATAAACATATTTATTTATTTATTTATTTATTTATTTATTTAAGTTCGTCGTCTCACCCCTTTCGCTGACATATCCTACACTCGCTTGTTGCGTTCTACCTCTCCTCGTCCTTCCCACCTTACTCAGTCTCACAACCGTTTCCAGATCTTAGACCCGGACATGCCCACCACCTCTCCCCCTGTTCCTTTACGTTCTGTCCCGAAGGGGCCCTCTCCTGGTTCTCCATATGAAGTTCCCCCCTTCCTACCCAGTCTGCCATGTCTCCTGTGTTTTCTTTCCCCAAGCTTTCTTCACATCCCTTCCCCCAGACTCTTGGCCCTCCACGCTGCCTGTCTCTCCAGGCTGTTGTCCATCATCCTCCCAGCAATCTTCACTCCCGCTCATCTTCTCCTGTTGAGACAATTAAGTCTATCACCCAGTACGTTGTTGCTGGAACACCTGTCTCTTTGAGTCAGAAACGTAAGCCTGGCTCTTCTCCTTCGTCCTCCCCGGCAGGTAGGAAGGCATCGCTTGCTTCCTCCCCACCCCCCCCACCTCTGACTCTCTCGCTCCGTCCCCTTCCATTTCGGTGGTCGTGCCCCGTCCCAGCTATGGAGGTTTCTTTAGCCCCTGATTCCCTCTCAGTTGCTGCCCTTGCTGAGGTACACTCCCAGGTTTCTGACCTCCCCTCTCAGTTGTCTCCTCCTCTGGACCCTACCCGTACGCCTCTGGTCTGTCCTCCCGCTCCCTTCACTCAATCCTTATTCAGTTTACCCATGCCCCCTAACCATGATTTTACTGATCCTGATTCCTGATCCTGAGCTTACTTAATGTACTGTGTTCTTCTTTATCTTTGTTTCTTCAATGTTTTCTGTTGCTGTCCTTTCTCTTTTTGACAATGTCTATTCTTCAATGGAATATTCGTGGACTTTATGCCAACTTCCATGAACTCCAACTTCTGATTATAAGTTTACACCACTTTGTGTTTGTCTCCAGGAACCCATGCTTGGTGCTCGTCCTGGTCACTTTCGAGGTTATTCCTTTCTTTCTCCTCCCCCCCCCCCCCCGTCAGGCTCTTGCTTGGGCCCATAACTCTACTGCTCTCTTGATTTGCACTGATATTCCCTTCGTCCCCCTACTGTTTCCATCGCCTATCCATTGTTCTGCTGGCCATGTTTTTGTGAGTAAATGGTATACAGTCTGTTCCATTTATCTCCCCCCAAATGCCCCGCTTTCCCTTCCTGATCTTAAGCACCTCCTTGACTTCTTGCCAGAGCCGGTGCTCCTTTTGGGTGATTTCAACTGTCGACACACCCTCTGGGGTGATGTTCTGACAAACACCCAAGTTCGCCTTTTCGAACCGTTCGTCCTCTCTTCTTTCGTCTCTTCTGAATTCTGGAGAGTCCACCCATGTAGACTCTTGAACTCACACCCTTTCCTGTCTTGATCTTTCTCTCTGCTCGTCGTCCCTTTACTTAGATCTCACGTGGCAGGTTCTTGATGACCTCCACAACAGTGATCATTTCCCCATCCTTATTTCCTTTTTCTCTTTCCACCCTCCCCTCTCCTTCCCTAGGTGGCAGTTTGCCAAGGCTGACTGGTGCCTATTCACCCTCCGTGCTACTCTCACTGACCTCTCCTCTCTACCTCGCACCCTCCTCCTTTTTCATGACACCGTCTTTGATGCTGCCCTCCGCTCTATTCCTTGCTCTACTTCCCGGGGCACGCGGAGGTGTGTTCCCTGGTGGAATGCGGACTGTGCTCGGGCTGTCCGCTGTAAGCGTGCAACCTGGAAGGAACACCGACGCCGACAGACGGCTGATTCTTTTATTTTGTTTCGGAAAGCAAGTGCAGTGGCCCGTAGGATCATCCGTACAGCTAAGCATGAGAGTTGGAAATGTTTCGTTTCCACCATTACGTCTGATACTCCTCTACCGCAGATCTGGAAGATCTGCCTTCCCTATAACGAC